TTTTGGACCCATTTCTTTCCTTTTTCTACCAAAGAAAATTAAACTGAATATTTGTTGTTAAATATTCAATAATCAAAGCAGTCAATGACCCAAAATGAGAGAAAGTTTTTGGAAGGAAATAGAATCCATCCTTTCATTTTTATTTCTGAACCACAAGTCTATATACACCAAATTAAAAGAAATATTTGCTATTTTTTCCAAACTTGTAGACAAATATGGATGAACCTTTGCTCCCTTACAATCACTAAAATACATTTTATTTTATTCCCAAATGGCAGAATGTTGAGAGCAATCCCTGTTTTACTCCTTTGTTTGGTAGGTATTTGGTACCCTTGTCTTTATATTGTGACTTAGGTAAAATAGTTTTGATGATGTTTTCAGGCCAAAATGTTGTTTTCTTTTTCCCTGTGGCGGATACAGACAGACCTGCACCCCTTTAGAGACCATATTAAATGTTTGCTGCATACATTGTTGTATTAAGATTTACAGCCAGTAGCCGTCACCCGTGCCGACGTGGCGGTCGAGACTCAGGCAGATATCTGAGCTTGACTTTGATCTGCTGAAAGCCCAGGTCTTGCGTTAATGCAATGTGAATCACAATAATGGCATTGAAGCAAGAAAAGGGAGGAGAAGGTGAAACGGGAGGCGATTTTATGCCAAACAAGAGAAAGAAGCAAAAATCTCTCTTGGATCTCTAGTCCAGTCAAACAGGAAGATTAGTAGAAACCAACTCCATCACTATATAGTGGAAATCTATGCACATCTATATGATTTACCCTCTTACCACCCAGCATTGCTAGACTTTAAACTTCTTTCCTATTTACTTAAATCCTATAAAATATTCATTAAGGAAGAAAACAGATTTGGGTGTTTTATTAGATCAAAATTTTTTGTCCACTTTAAACAACCAAATAATTTTGTTACTGGTTCTGTAAACATCAGGAGGGATGTGAATCATTACGGGTTTACCAATACTAATACTTTTAACATTATTCCTTATTGATTGGACATTTTATCAAGAGAAGAATATCGCAATTTACAGATAAAACACAAAATTTTGGTTTTAAATGGTTATTGAGTCAGACGTGTGGCGGGTAATGTTTGTTTTATTGAAAGGTTTTTATCTTTTACTGTGTAAATGAGTTTGGCTGTCATTTAAGGACAGATTCCGATATATCTGCATTGTGGGGACTATAAATCTGATACGTTACTGCTGTTTAAGCTCCTCAAAAATGTTATTAGCACCCAGAACAGCGGTTAGAGTTTTAGAAATATTTTCCTGTTTTTTTTGTCAACTTTCATGGTTGCTGGAATTTGGCAGCGGGGATAATGGCTAACTAGTGGTGGAGGAAACACGTGCATTCAAATGTAAGTTCCTCTGGTTTGCTGCATCTTTGTCTCACTGACAGAAAATCACAAGTTAGGAAAAAATTTAAAAAGACGTAATTAATCCCTCAACTGAAGGTCCTCTTTGAAATAGTTTGATTTGATCAGATAGATTTGTGTTACGTAAGGGGGAAATGTTTGATTTCATATCGCCACAGAGCTACGGCAATGCACATGTGGCGTTACTGTGTTGCCATAGCAACGACTGCTTGAAACGTGTAAATCTAAGTTAGACGACTAGCTGGTGACGATGTTCTTATTCACAAAAAGTCTCAGAATCATATTACTGTTTTATGTTACTGTAATGTAATACTGACATGAATTTGACAGGAATGGAGTTGTTTACCATGGTTTTTAAGAACAGCAGCCTAAAGTCATTACATGTGATTAATACGTTTTTACTCCGCTAAAACGAAATTTTAATAAAAGTGAACTATTTACTATGGGGATCCATATTTTCTATCAACATACAATCATTAGGGATTGCAAGATTAGAGCAAAAATATGTAATCTTTCTAATCTCCTCTAAAATAATAGAAATACATTTATAAATCAGAGATGACAAAAATCAAATAATGATTTTCTCAGCAGCTAATTAAAAAAAAAAAAAAAAGTTATTTGTTTTTTACAGCAGGTAACTGAGGATTTGGATCATCTATTTTTAACAGTTGATGAAGAACAATCCATATAAAATATAAGGTTTTCATTTTTTTAAACTAATCATAAATGTGTTTACTCTGGCATTAATAAAGTGTTTCTAATAGCCTTACATTTATACAAGAGGGTGTGTTTATTAAATAAGCCCAAATTTCATTCATTGAAAGAACGAGTTAATTTATGCATTTATGATTAATCAAATCTAAGAATACATATAAGCTGAACTTTTTCATACAGTTTTGTTTTTGACTGACTGCTCCTTTTCAATGTTTTTAAGTTATGCTCTTTTTGTTGTGCTCCATACATTGATCTTTTTTTAATATGTTTTTATTTATGGTACTTTCATAACAGATATAATCTTATACGTACTGCTTAAATGAAAAAAACAAACACTGTATTTACCAGCAGATCTCCTCCATCTACATCAAACTGTCATTTGTGTCTTTACTGTTTATCTCAGCTCATTTATAAACGTTGTTTTTTTCCTGATTGAATAAAGATCAAAATAGCTCTGCTGAATGTTTCTCCGTTAGATGAGAAATAATCGGGCTGGAAACGGACAGTTCGACCCATTGATCAAACCTACCTGAGCTGAAGGAGTCTCCTTCGGACTCACAGCACTATGAAGGTAGATTTGTTTCTTTATCATTCAATTAAAAAAAGGTTGCTTCAATCACAAACTATATTTTCAA